AAAATAAACTGTTAAATCGGAAAAAAGAACCTGTTATTGAGAAAAGCAAGGTAGAGGACGAATGAAGGGAAAACATTGTCAAAAAAAAGTAAGGTAAGTAAGAGACCTAGAGAAGAATGCAAAGAAAATCGCCTGAAAGGAATAGAGCAAGAAATAGCAAAGAAATAGATATAGCCAGTCTTGTTGCTTTTGAGTTTAAATAACACAAGAGAAAAGCTTCGGTGAGTGGAGTCAAGCATGACAAAGAGCAGCAGCGGTACTCATCAGCAGACAGGTTAGGCTTAAGGCTCCAAGTCCTCCACACAGAACTGCCCTATGGAACAATAGCCTAGCATATTAATTGTGAGTTCAATCCCTGGTCCGGGCAGTGGGTACTTGGACCCAATGGAAACAATAACTGAGCAGTACGAAAAACAAGATATAATCTTGACATGACTGCACACAGGAAATATAAAACAAAAACAGAAATCTAAGAGATTAAAAATTTAAATGCACAATTACAAAAATGCGGAACTTATAGAATCTAAGAAATTAGCAATGCTGAGAAACAATGGCACATTAATATATCAATATTTGGTGTCATAGCAATTCTGAGTTCCAGCCCTGGTCTAGGTAATATGTACTTGAACCCAATGGAAACAAGGCAAATAATAACTGAGCATTACTAAAAATAAGTGATAAGAGAACAGGTTAACGAAGAATATAAAAGATATTACACAAGAAATAATTTCGACATGGCTGCACAGAGGGCATATGAAGCGAAAAACGGTAATCTAAAATCTACCGTTGATCTTATATAAAAATAGTATAGTTTATGATTCTTCTCAAAAGCGTCATTTTTTTTAAAATGAAGCTTATTTTATCTTTTGAGGGTTGCGTGACGTACACCTCATGTAGGAATATGGGTGTAGATACTGCAATAATAATTAATATTGATGTACCGCTGTTTCCAAACATTTAGCTAATCTCTTAGATTCTATATGTTTTACATTTTTGTAATTCTGCTTTTAGATTTATTTTATCACGTTTTAGATTCGACTTTTTTTCGTTTCATATGTTCAGCCATATCGAGGTTATTTTGTGTGTAATGTTTTTTAAAGTTTTTACTGAACTCTTTCATTATCCTATTTGTGTTTTAGTGTTAACTGAGTATTTCTTCAGTCCTCCATTTTGTCGTTTTATTATTAATTTTCTTTCAATTTCCAACTATCATCAACATTCTTTCTATTCTTTACGTGTGTCCTGTTTTATAGACGAGTCGTCACAAACATATATGCTAACCATAGATGGGTGGAGAATAAACGGATTCATGCATTTTCCAAGGGCATTTATGCGAAAATGAACGCAATAGACTAACTAGGAATTTGAACTCGGCTCACCGAGTTTCACTTTTAATGCCGATGTCCATTAAGCAACCCGCGCATTCTTTGAAGAGATAGACGTATTAAAACTTTAGAATCTATTATAGAACTGTTTATATTTAGTATTTATTTGAGTCATATAATGTTACAAACTAGTCATTATAATGTAAAAGTTATACAATGTTAAGAACTCATTATTGTCATAATTATTTCTGTTTACTCTATATAGTTAGTTGTCGAGTCCAACTGGAGGCTCAAGAAATTCTCTTCAATGTTACCATATCGTTCTTAGTAATACTATTTCATGTTAGTAGTTCTCTACGTTGTACTGTTTCTGGCTTCTTTCTTTTTTTAATCTTTGTTTTTCTTTCCTTTGGTGGACCTCTGTTAAGCAATAATGAATTTTACTAATGACACACCCATAATATTGTTTGTAATAAAATTTCACATTTTATTATTGTTCGTTTTCTCCTAGACTAACTCTGTTGTTCGCTAATATTGTCATGTCCACAATTTAACAAAGTTTCTTTAGAGCACTAAATTTTTTTCTAATTTGATTGATTTTCTCTGTCTGAATAGATTCATTCTTTGTCAGCAATAATTAGATTTCATTTTTTGACTTGCTCAGATGGTCTGAATAGATTCACATTTATTGACCATCGGATAGCCCAAACAGAACCAGAAGCGTTTTTACTGATCACAACAGATAATTCAATCCTCATTAAATATAGAGCAATGCTACTTGACGATATCATTGTTTATAATGAATAGAAAGACATTTGATAAAATGTACTGAATTAGTTATTAAATTGCAACCACAACAGTCGCAGAAGATATCATAATTCGAAGCTTATCATAACAAAGAACTAATGTAAAAAAAAAGCTCTTTCACAACGATTTCGAGGAATAACTAATTCAAACTGATTTAATCAAATTCCACCCAGATCTCTCAATATCGGTATTTAAAAGCTTAGTCTGGCACATGGCTACCTAGCAGGTAATCGGTAAGAATATATAATATTGTACGAAAAAAGGATGATTTTGAGATATTGACCGTCGATTGATCAAAACATGAATAAGCAAAGAAAAATCTGACTCGAAATTTTAAAAAACATATCGAAATAAAAATAATGTATATACTTGTAGGCAGATTGCGAGAGAGACAAATTCTTAATGTTTCCTAAGAGATTACGATCAGAATTTAGGAGTGACTTGGTCTGAGCGATTGACTTGAATGAAGGAGGCTGAATGCTTGATTTTTTATGTTAAGTATTGAACGAGAATAAACTAATTCCTTTGGGTCGTTTCTTTTCAGTCTCCATTATTTCCCTTTCACTTTCTTCTTCCTTTTTCTGAGATAATCATTTCTTATACTTCCTTTATTCTTTCTTTCCTTTTTCTCTTTCTTTTTTTCTTTAGAGAAATTTATTTCCTTCTTTCTTTAACACAAGTAAGACGAGACAACCGATTGTCTAAAATGTTAAGGATTCTCAAGCGACCGCGCCACAACATGATTCGTGTTTCACAATGTTTTCGGACAGACTGTCAACTCATCTAGTGCACATCTCATTTTTACTGAAAATGTAAATACGAGCAATACATTTTTGATAATTTCAGCTTGACACATTGCCTTTTTTAATTTTTAAAATTGAATTATCCAGTGTTTTTGGCACTCATTTTTTTACAAATCATGTAGTTGGCCAGAATCGACTCAGATTCATTCTAAGCTGTTGCTTCTAATTTTTTTTATTAGTTTTTCTAAAAAGACACTTTGCGCCTATCTTTAGCCATGTTGAGGCAATAAGCCTTAAGTAAACAGTTATTTCGAATTTTGATCCTAACGTGAGACAACGTTTTCAGCTTAGTGGGTGTTCATGTAGATAGAATATGATACTTGCAAGTACTAACTCATTTAACTAGACATTACCAATATCTGAACCATGACCAATTTTTTTCCCATCGTTGATTCAAGTCGAAGTGCTATTCCCCTGGTTCATTGATTGGATCACTTTTTAGAAATAAATAGGCTATTTGGCCGGTCCTGGTAAAATAGATACCAAGTCTATTTTGCCGGTAAATATAAAGAGTGTTTTAGAACTAAGAATCCATTATATTTTAAATCGTCAGCATAGTGGTTGTGTGAACTGTGTAGGCAGAACTTGTACAAAATGGATTCTGTGGTCTGTGACTTTTGTCTTCAGTGGGTGCACCTGAAGTGTATTGGCAAGAGAACCAAGTTTGTGAATTGCAGGGAAGTGCTTAAAATATTCAAAGACTTCTATATTTCTTTTAATAATTGAAGATGAATAAATGATTTTAACTTGTGTTTTAACAACTGATGGCAGAAATGATTTTAAATTGTCTTCACAATTGATGGAGAAAATAAATAAACTTCTGTGTTAAATCTGTCTGTTGTTATTTTTAACATTACCTGCCTTCATAATAATAAAAATATTTACAGGCAAAATAGCTTAGGGGTCTATTTTACTGAGACCGGTAAAATAAGCTTAAAGGCATGTTTTTCTATTTTACCGGGACTGGAGAAATAGACCTTTCCTCTTAGAAAACAAGCAAGGTCTTGGGATTCTTCGAATTGATTGTTAAGAAAGTGGGAAAAAATATATAAAAAGGAGTAATGTTGATAGAAAGAAATGAATAGGAAAGTAATTATATTTAGAAAAATATATGCAACCCTTCTCAATTTCCTGTCCTTCATAGCTCTTAATAAATTTTGTTTTTTGTTATTTCTCCTAAACACTGTTCCGCCATCCATTTACTCTGCTCCCTAAGTATGTTATGCGTTGTTTTCCTCTGTCCCCTATTGCCTTCAATCTGTCCTGTGAGTATCAGATTTTCCAAGCCCTATTTTTCATTATGTGCCCTAGAAATTTCAACTGTTTCTTCCTGATGTTAAGTTTCCTTTTTGTTTCAACTTTCTCTAAAACTTCGGCGTTGTTCACATGTTCCCTCTATACACACGCTTATACCTTTACAAAATGTTTTCATATATAAATGCTTTCAATTAAAACAATGAACATAAATTTTGCATACAATTAATACTATACAATATTAAAGTATTATTCACATTCAAAGTGACAAAAAAGGCATTTAAGAACATTTCCTACTGGATGGCAATGTTTTAGATTTTCCATGTTTTGTCATAAGGTTAATAAAAATCAAGACCCAAATTAACACAAATACACATGTATTTATTGACAGTCGCGTTAATTGATAGTGAACGTAATTTTCAAGAGTTCTGTGTGATTTTTGTTTAGTTCAGTGAGATATAAGGTATTATTTCTAAAAAAAAAAAAATAAGGCAAAATTTTAATGTATTATTACATTACGAAAATAATGCTAAGAGAAATAATGATGACTTGTTTTGTTGATATGAGAAAAGTCATCATTTCATAAAGAAATAGAACATAAAGCTGTTTGCAAATGTACTTAAGGATGACGCAGGTAGCAGAACTTGACGACTGTCAAAGATGTGTCTAACGTTTGACGTAAATTGCAATAATTTTCATCCTTTTATTATTTTTTCATTTCGGTAACGCTTGTTTTGTCATTGACAACCATTCTGACGTCCACTTGACTTTGTTCTTTGCTCTCTGCATGGGTACAAAACGCAAAAACAACTCAGCTAAAAGCCAACCAGAAAAAATTATAAATCTTGAGATAGAGGGAGAGGAAGAGATAATGAGAATTATAGTGTGAAAGAGACAATTCGAGAGGGTAGGAAAGAGAGAGAGGGGGAGAGGTTGAGAGTTTGGGAAGAGTAGTGACAAGAAGAATAAGAAAAATTAATAAGAGGATGGGAGGAAGAAGAGAGAGAGAAATAAAGTGTGGATGAAGAGAGAGAATCAAAGAGTGGAAGAAGAGAGAGAAACAAAAAGTGGAAGAAGAGAGAGAGAGAGAGAAATAAAAAATGGAAGAAGAGAGAGAGAAATAAAGTGGAGGAAGAGAGAGAAATAATGAGAGAGAGAGGGAAATAGAGAGTGGAGGAAGAGAGAGAGAGAGATGGAAATAGAGAGTGGAGGAAGAGAGAGAGAGAAGGAAATAGGGAGTGGAAAAAGAGATAGAGATGGAAATAGATAGTGGAGGAAGAGAGAGAGAGAGAAGGAAATAGAGAGCGGAGGAAGAGAGAAAGATGGAAATAGAGAGTGGAGGAAGAGAGAGAGAGGGAAATAGAGAGTGGACGAAGAGAGAGAGAGAGAGGGAAATAGAGAGTGGACGAAGAGAGAGAGAGAGGGAAATAGAGAGAAGAGGAAGAGAGAGAGAGAGATGGAAATAGAGTGGAGGAAGAGAGAGAAATAAAGAGTGGAGGAAGAGAGAAAGAGAGAGAAATAAAGGGTGAAGAAAGAAAGAGAGAGAAATAAAGAGTGAAGAATGAAAGAGAGAGAGAAATAAAGAGTGGATGAAGAGAGATAAAATGAAAGAAAAAGAAGCGTAAAAATCAGTATGAAAGATATGTGGCTAAAATAAAAAAAATTGAGAACATGAAAACAGGTGCCGTGCCGAAAAATCAAGAATGAGACAGAAAGAAAGAGAAATAGAGAAATCAGAATAGGGGAAAAAAATAAGGGAAAGCAAAGACTTATAAGAATAAAAGACCTCTCACGCCATTTCTCTTTCTTTCTCTCTCTCTCTCTCTCTCTCTCTCTCTCTCTCTCTCTCTCTCATATACACTCTACCTTTTCCTCATGCTGACTGAACAATACAGTAAAATTGAAAATGTGCGAATACACCGTAATATAACGGTTAGCGGCTCTGACAAAGAAATCTGTGAGCTGAGTTCGAATTCCGGTCGAGTTTGTTGCATTCACTTTCACCCAAATTCTCTTGGGAAAGGTATGAATCCACTCTTTCTCCCTCGATCTATGGGTTAAATAGCAGACTGCATTCTCTATCCATGGTTTGGGAACCAGTCTAGGAGAATAATAACTCCAAAGACAAAACCCTGCCTTGTGACCCTTAGTATGTAGCCATGTCGAGGTGTCTACTTGACAAACATGGAATTCATAATTAAGCGTTAACTCTGTAACCACGACTAGGATCGAATAAAACAAAATTGAAAAGTAGGAACATGTTTTACAAAACAACATCCAATTATTCTCTTAGCTATACAAGTATAAATCGTAATAAAGCATATCGTCTGTTTTTTTTTTGGGGGGGTCACACGTAAAAGTGGTCAGTCTTACTAAGAACACATTAAAAATAATCTGATATTTCTTCATTTTATCAGATTTTGGGAAGTGGGTCGTAACAAATCAAAGCACTTTTAAAAAAATAAAAATCGATCATAGCTCTTTACAACTTCCTTTCTTTGTTGCTCTGAGTAACTCTTGCATTTAGCGGCCATTTATTTTTCTTTATGTTTCTTCTATTATACATTTACTCAAACTCGTCTAACAGATAACATGCTGTTTCCTCTTGCTTCTCTTGTCTTCGGTATAGCTTAGGAGTGTTAAATTAGCCACGCCTTCTTTCCTCATTATATGTTCTCAACATTTCCGCTATTCACTTCTCATTCTTAGCATCAGTTTCTTCGTAGTTTTTATTCTTCTTAAAATTTGTTCGTTTCTCATATGCTCTGTTCATGATATTCTCAGCATTTTTTAGCAGAACCACATCTATGTCGCTTCAGGCCACTTCATTATCTGCGAGGAAATTGTTCCACATCACTGATATAATAGACTATCTATAATGATATCGAAGAGCAGTCGAGCACATTTTTCTTTGTTGCTAAGGAAATTTTCCAATCCCTTAATACTGAGTTTTTAAAAGGCATCTTTCGCTATTCCTCTGCGTCTTTGGATGTCACACTTTCCGACGTCTATTTCTACACTACGCAGATACTTACATTTTAGCAACTGTTTGATTCTGGGTTGTCTGTTTTGTTGACAATTATACACTCTCAGTTGATTTTTACTCTTTTCTTTTTGGCCTTACGGCCACGTCACGTTGAAACACGATCACCGAAATTAAGCAAAGTCGATCCTGGTCAGTATCTAGATGGGTGACCGCTTGGGAATACCAGGTGCTGTAAGGTTAGATGAGCGGGTGGTGTAATGGATAATGGCTCGGGATTATTAATTGGAGAGCCGAGTTCCAATTCCCGTTGGGCTCGTTCGCTTGGGAAATCCATGAATCCACCTCTTATCTCTCCAGCCATGGGTTAATTAGTAAGACTTGTATCACTAAACCGTTATTATCTCCCAAAATTAAATTCTTACGATCTAAATATATTTTCTAGTCTTAAATAAACTGCAATGGTTTGATTAGCTGTAGAGAACGAAACTACCGAACCAAATTTTCTTTTTACTCTCACTATCTGATCTAATAGTTGCTTTAGTTTTCTTTCTGAAGCTGTCGTCAACAAAGTCTTGTCTACGTAACATAAGTTGTTAAGATTATGTCAACCGACGCTAAACGGAAATTTCAGATAATTTGTTGTCTTTCAAAACCTCTCAAAAGTTATTTATGCACCAATGGAGTCTGTTTAGTCATTTAAACATTTTTGAAAGTGAATGTTTGGGGAATGCATAAAACTTTCACATTTTTAATTAATGTCATTGTGTGTGTGTGGGTGTATATATATATATATATATATATATATATATATATATATATATATATATAGATAGATAGATAGATAGATATGCATTATAAAATAATATTGTATATATATATATATATATATATATATATATATATATATATATATTTAAAACAACAAATAGGAAACGTATTTTGAAAACCGAACGATGTTTTATCCTTAATGTATTAGACATCCGACAACATTCATATTTCTCTCACTTAAACCGTCTTTAACTCACCTCTCTAAAACTTCTCTCTGTTAAGTTTTAATCTCCCACCTTCTCTCGTCTGTTACCCCTCTCTTTAGCTCTAACATTCGTCCCACACTCTCATACTTACACTCTCTCTAAATTCTATTTTTTATTTCCGGAGTTGTTTTTTCTGTTTTCTTTTTGGATTTCTAGGTCTGATGAATTGGATCGTATTTACGATTCCAATGGAATAAATTATGACCATGGAATATTAGTGTTTAAGCCTTTTTATTATATCCTTACTCTGTCTTGGACATTGAGTTCTACCTGGATTCTATCCTCTTGAAATTTTTTATTCAAAAAAATATGTATGTATGTGTATGCATGTATGTATATATATTTATATATTTTGCATATGTATGTGTATATTTACCACTAATATCTATCTATCTATCTATCTATCTATCTATCTATATATATATATATATATATATATATGTGTGTGTGTGTGTGTGTGTGTGTGTGTGTGTGTGTGTGTGTGTGTGTGCAGACGGATATATAGGCAGAAATGAGAGACATGTTCGGGTGTATATCTAAATATGTGAAAACTATAAGTCTGGAAAGGAGCATTGACACCCGCACCTTCAAATGCAAGCAGTCTAAGAGAAATGGGATGCCGTCTTTGTTATCGAATGTGTACATACGTAACTCATTCTCTCATGTCCACTCACTCCCTTTCTTTTACGCTGTCGACGTATCTCCCCCTCCTTATTGTTCTTTCAGTTCCCATTCACCTACCTGTATTCACTCATACCTTCCACCCTGACTTACTTTTTTTTTTCCTTTGTGGCCGCTAAACTATTTTTCTCACTATTTATGTAAAGTTCCGTTCATTTTCTTCATTTGTTGCCCGTGGACAACCGTGATAAGGACCATGTAATTTTTTGCCATTTTATTTCTCTTCCAACAATTATTTGTATAATTTAAAAAGCGTAATTTGAAATATAACACGACCTGCAGTTTAATATCAAGTTTCAGTAGGACTTTATACCAAACAGACAAAAAAGAAGCTCACTGATTGAAATGGAACGCAGTAAAATTGTTTCAGAGAAACAGGATTAAATGAGAAAATAATTGTAACATGTACACGATATTTTTATAAAATTATTTCGATTAAATCGAAAAATCCCAAACCAAAAACAAACCAGAAATATTGCTTTAATGAAACTTAATGCCGCCACTTAATTTAGAAAAAACTCATAAACTACGCAATAAGTTTTGGAAAATGGAATATTCCAGGTACTGTTTTCTTTTCTTACTTTTTCTGTTTTATTTGCTTCAGCTGCTTTTATGATTTTCTTCTTTTATGTGCAATATCCATACGTGGCTCTCCACGTCTTCCTATATCTTATCTCCCAGTTCCTGTTTAATCATCCACTTATTAGGCATTTTACTCGCAGCGACCTTCTGTTCCTCTTGCTTTAAATATGTACTTTAAGTGTCAAATCCTCCAAACCCTCTTTCCTCAATATGTATCCCAGGAATTTTAACTGTCAATTTAAGTAAGTCCTTTTTGTTTCGACGATTTATAAACTTCATCTCGATGAATGCAAAAAAGGAGGGTTTATTATCAGTTATAAGCGCCATGTTAATAATAATAATAATAATCGCTAAAAATAACTTAAGCGAATGATTTATTTTACTTGGTTCGTGAATTTGGTGACATAGTAATTGTGAGTTCAATCCCTGGGCCGGGTAGTGTGTACTTGAACTAAGGACGAGTAATACTTGAGCAGTACTAAATAAAATAAAATAAAATAAAAAAAACTAGAGGGGATATCCGTAGATAAGGTCAACGGAATATATATTCAATAAAGGTTTCAGTTCAGATTAACAAACACCTAATAAAGGCCAGAAGGACACAACGCTCGAAACGTTAGGATAATAACGACAAAAATGAGGACAGTGAACCGAATATAAACAAAGAACGTTTTGTAAACGTTTTTGACAACAAAGATAAGTAAAAGCTTATCTTTTATCAACATCATCAGCTTTTGTTATTGTGTTTTCCTGAATTCGTTAAGTTGCTTATTTCAATTTTCTTTTATCATGCTCTTGATTTATTGCTTCATTAGTTTGTTTTTTTTTTTATAGCTTATTAACCTTTTGCAGGTTATTTAAAGCCAGAAAATATTTTTGGATTGTAAAAATCTTTTTTGGAGATGATTTACAGATACAAGTTTTTCTATTTAACCCATGGCTGTGGGAAGTAGAGGTGGATACAATCCTTTCCCATTGGTATTTCCGCATAAGAGACTATAACAATCCCGACTGAGATTGGAACTCGGATCTTTCCAATTCCAAGACCTTATCCATTACACCAGACGCACATTCAAGCATACAGCACCTGGTATTGCCAAGCAGTCACCCATATAACCAGGCTCGACGTTACTTAACTTCGGTGATCGTACGGGAACCGGTGTTTCAGCGTGATATGGCCGTAAGCCCATCATGTTCTTTAATGTTCGAAACTGCAGTTTGGTAGGAAACTGATTCCTCTAAAGTAAAAAAGATCGATTAAATTTCTCAGTGTTTTGTAAACCTTAACGTTTTGGGGTATTTTGTTAATTAAAAAAACGGATGCATTTGGTGTACGTTAGCTAACAATGTTATTCCCAATGGCAGAACTTGTACCCATAATCAATGTTTTTATCAGTACCTAAATAATCAACCTTAAAGCTTTTTTCTTATTTCGACTATAATATCATATTGTACTTCTCTTTGTTCCACAGTTCCTTAATGAATCAGCACGTATGTTACGTGCTGTCAGTACCTCGTAAATAAAGGACTATTTCGTTTTGATCGCGAGGAATGATGGAAAAGACATATCAGTGACGCTGTTTGGATTCAGTGAAAAAGAAAGAAAAGAAATAAAGAAAGGCAGGATAGAGGAGGCGATAACGCTCTCACGTGTTTAAAGTCTGTTTTAGTGAAATGGAAAACTTTGTCAATTTCAAATCTTTTTTTTTTTTATCTCTACCCTTTTAATAATACTCGGCATTCATATCTACGATTGGCAATATTTAACATTCGTGCCCGCAAAAACGGTGTGTGAAAAAAACTGTAGGCATTTTGGCTCCCTCGGCAATATTTATTGTTTTAAAAAGCGATGATGAGAATTTTAATAAATACATGAAAGTGGATTAATACCTGTTCTTTGTTCTTGAGAATTAACAACAAATATATTAAACATTATTTATTACATTTCTCATTTACAAGAATAATTTTATATCTAAAAAATTATAAAAATATGTAAACCACCTGTAATGAAATATTTATTATTTACCACTTTTATGAAGAAATAAATATAACTTTTTTTTTATTCACAAATTTTTAAAAATGCCTGCGAACAAGAAAATTTAAATAAACACATAACGACGAGTAACTGTAATTTTAAAGTTGGAAAAATGCATTTTCCGGGCATGTTTTAACATTTTCTCTCGCCATATAAATTAATTATTAATACTAGAAATGCCCGTGAACATTTCATGGTTTTGCTTTTTGAATTTTCTGACGAATCATAATTAAGTTAATGATTGAATAATCTCCTTACGAGTTCTACTACAATAAAATACCCGTGGGAATTCCCCCATTACATCATTAAATATTCGAACTTAACAACTTTATGACAATAATCATTGTATTTTTTCTATATTATTGCTAACATCTACACCAGTTTTTATTTTACTGTTCTATGGCGCTATTTTAACATGCTTTATTTGTTTTATGATCAACAACAACAACAGCAGCAGCAGCAGCATTGGCCTCTTTATGATTGTTATCGTCTGATTTCGTCGGTTTTAATAAGGTAAAAAGAAATTGCTCCTTCGTTAGTGTTACTTCCTATTTTATGGTCACAATAAACATTCTGTCATTTTGTCCATAAGTGTCGTCAGGAATTTGGTAGTTTGTCTTCAGCAATGTTATCATTATAGAAAGTTGTCGTCGTCGTCGTCATCATCATCATGGTTAACAGCTTTTTCATTTTCTCCATTTGTTATCAGAATTCTGCCATTACGATGGTCCGTCACCATTTTTCTTATTGAAATTGTTGTGTCATCTCAATCAGTCTAATTTTCATTGCTATAATAATAGCTATAAACTATCATCGTCATTAATTTAATTTTCATAATCGTGCTTAAATATGTTCCCTCCTATCATCATCATCATCATCATCATCGTCGTCGTCGTCGTACTTATTATTTAGTAGTAGTAGTAGTAATAATAATAATAATGATAATAATAGGAGCACTAGGAATAATTGAATAGAATAATGATACAAACATTAAATCCCAGAAGGAAACCTATCAGTATTTGAGATTATGCTCACGACCACCGCTCACACAGAAAATCTCTTTCAATATGGTCTTAAAAAATTTCTTTTACCTCAGGTCTCAAGTAGAAATCGTGGTAAAGGATTGCATCAAGCAGAAAATAAGTAAAACTAGGAATTATAATAATAATAATTTAAAAAATCTTGCATATAGAAAATAAAGCCTAGTATCCCGTCGCTACAGAAGACCGCGTTGCTTCGCAAAGCAAATATTATTCGAAAGGGACTCTCTGTCTGAGGTCGTACAAGATGTGAAAAAATAATATTTATACTGCCGACTTAACGTCTTACATTTAGAAAATCGAAATAAAGCCTAGTATCTTATCACTTCAGAAGTCCGCGTTGCTTGGCATTGCAAATATTCTTCGGAGGTTACTCTTTCATTCTGAGAGCGTACTAGTTAATGGAAAACACCCATAATACATGATCTTTGTTTGAAAACGAAAACCTGTGCGGAAGAAATAATAATAAATGTCCCTGTGCTGGACCAAACATGGCTCTTCTGGTGTTGTAGCATACCTACGGAAGATAATGGGTATGTCCCCATTCACATAAATACGGTAGTAAATACTGTATGTTGGTCTGCAGTTGGAGATTCGCCTCCAGCTGTGCTGGTCAAACTCTCTGCCTCCGTGCAGAGAGAATCCCCAGCCGAGTTTTTCATACGGAGTCTACGGGGAATTTTTGGCCGAGCTTACAGGCTCGGATACCCCACATTAAATTCGGTCTTAAGCCGCATCAGACCGCGTGGGGCGGTTGGTAGATATTCTGAGGTGGAGATTCGACTCCAGCTGTGCTGGTCAAACTCTGCATCTGAGCAGAGAGGATTCCAAGACGAGACTCTGCAGAAGAACAGTGTCTCGTCTCGGGAAACAGCTACCCGACTCCTTTTTTATATGGGGTATTTGGGGAATTTTTGGCCGAGATGCGGGCTTAGATATCCCACATTAAATTCGGCCACATTGACCGCGTGAGGCGGTTGGTAGATATTCTGCAGTTGGAGATTCATTGTGGAATTCACTTGACTCACTTCTAGCTGTTGACTACTACTTCTACGCGCTGCTGGCGAATCTTATATGCGTTGTTCTTGTCCTAAATATTATCGTTCATTACTAATGTTCACTTGATTATTCTACTCAGTAACCCTCCCTAGGTTACAACACCTGGATTCTAATCTTAATTGATTAGAAGTGTTTAACATTTGCATGCTTTGTTTTGGTGAATTAAGATTTGGACCTCACATGCAAGGTTATGAGCTGCTTTTACCAAAACCTATCACCCTATCGCACACGCACGATTGGCTGTGATGAATGTGTCTGGTATAATCTGGGCGTCATGATGGGTATGTAGGAATTCGAATATTTGTATTCAAGCGTCACTTTGTTGATTTACTGCTCTCCCTCAATAATAATAATAAATAATAATAATAATAAATAATAATAATAATAATAATAATAAAGATTTCAATGTACTCATTGAAGGGATGCCTGGTAGCCCATGCCTTAAAGAAATGCAAAAAATGTTTTTCACAAGTACAGTTCATACCTTGCGAAGGAATTTATCTATGTAATATGTATGTGATCCTGGGTTGTTTATTTTTATTTATATATATTTTGGGTATAAGATGACAACTGGAAAAAATCTTAGTTTTCTGTCGACGCGTTTCGTCTTCCGACTTTTTCAAGGCAAAAACGAAATCCAAATTTAAAAATGAGAGAGACGTAAGCCTCTTTCTGGTTAATGTAAATTTCCTTTATACTAAGAATTTTTTTTTTCCATGTCGACAATATAGTTAAATTCCCAGATCAATTCTGTGGACAAGACAAATTGGTATAAGATGACATCTGGAAGACGAAACGCGTTGACAAAAAAATTAAGATTTTTTTTCCAGTTGTCATCTTGTACCTAATTGTCTTTTCCACAGAATTGATCTGGGAATTTAACTAAATATATTTTTTTTACAAAAATGTTCAGTGGAAAATGTTATGATGCCATTCCTGACCTTTGGTTTCTGGTTTGGATCCGGAAGAAAATGAGTATACATCAGAAATAACATTAAATAATAATAATAATAATAATAATAATAATAATAATAAATGTGTGGTATTAGACGCGGCATACGTTGGGGCTCATTATATTGGAAGTAAAGAAGTTGAAAATATTGTAAAGTAATGAGAACTGAGGGTAAATGTGGAATGTACATGTCAAGGTTGTGGTAGTTGTCATTGAAACCTTTGGGTCGATTTCAAATAATCTCCAAAACCAACTTGATAGCGTCATAATCGTTGGTGCTTGCGGTTTGATGTGTTGAGTCACTCAAAATTATTTACACTGTGTTTGAAAGATCACCGTGCAATTTTCAGCAATAATATTAAATGTGACAGGGAACCACATAATAACCGAATGTAGTACGTTGTCTCAAAAAGAATACAAAAATAGATATGACTGGGTGGGAAAGTGGATCCACTTGGAACTGTGCAAAGGACTGTATTTTTACCATGCAAACTAAAGGCATATGAATAGACCAGAATTTGTCCTGGTGAATGAGAAACAGGAAATACTTAGGATTTTAAGATTCAAATGGCTCACCCAATTCAGGATTGAAGCCCTGATTTGGTAGCAGTAAATGAGTGAGGGTGGGGGGAACGTGCCAGATGGCGAACGACAGGGTAGATCTAGATAAGTAAAAGAAGTTGAAAAATATAAAAGTGATGGTTGTGACGTGATGGTTGTACCGAACTTAGGATACTGGAAGGTGTGGTTGAATATTGAAGAGACTTGTCACACAAGCACCAATGTAGACTACTAGTTACTGTTACTATGAACATTCAGTGAGTGAATAATAATAATAATGCTAAGAAATTTGGCTTATTGTATCGTGCAAGACAATTTTCTCTCCAGAATCTGTCTTACATATCTATAAGTCTACCATTCGTCCATGCTTAGAATACTGCTGCCACATATGGTTCGGTGCCCCTTCTATTTACCTTGAGCTCCTTGATAAGAAGAACCAGTAATAGTATAGGTCCTGATCTGGCGGCTCGGCTTCAGTCACTTTCCCATGGCTGTAAGGTTGACTCTCTGTGTCTTTTCTATAAATACTTTCATGTT